AAAAAGTAGAAAAAATTATTGATGTGATGGAAAATATTATTTTATTGAAGAATGTGTGGTTGAAAATGAGAATTGATTTACTGTAGCAAAATAAGAATCCCTACCAAACAAGCCATTATTGTTTTAGTTATTATTGTAACAATTCAANGTTGAAAAAGTAGAAAAAATTATTGATGTGATGGAAAATATTATTTTATTGAAGAATGTGTGGTTGAAAATAAGAATTGATTTACTGTAGAAAATCAAAATCCATACCAAACAGGCCCTTAAGCTTGTGCCTAGAAATTTTGAAATTGGGGTATATTTTCATTATGCCGGAATAATATTTTCAAATAAGAGGAAATGAGAAGAAACAAAAGAATGGAATTAAGATCTTCAAAGGAAATTTAAAGGTTAAACACGTAATTATTGTTTTCAAACGATATTTGCCCTCTCTCGAATTGAATTTAATAGTGAAAGGGATTCTTGACAAATGATTAGCAGGATTTAACAAGCCTTGAAAATGAATAAATACTTAACACTAAGGAAATTTCTTCAAAACTCAAGAATACAAAAATAGACTTTTGAATATGAAAGAAAAAAAAGTTTTAATATTTCTTGTGGAATGGAATTTGATCTCAAGTGGGTTTTAATGTGTTTTTTATTTATCATTAATCGTCTATTTACATATGTCAGTTAATACTACACGAAATGGTGTCAAAACATGATGAATAGAGACAATTTTTCATTCGAAATAACACCAAGTTTCAAGTTGAAAAACCAGCCAATGGCTTGTTTTGAACCCCAAGCAAAAATGCTTCTACGTACGCATGGGCAAAAATCTCAAAATTTTCAATTTTATTGATTTTGAACAACAATTTCAACATATTATGATCACGTTGTTTTTTTCTTTTCTTTTTTTAGCTAGAATTGATTATGGAACGCTTCATTGGTAAAAATTGAGAGAGAGGTCTGAACTAACTTATTACCGAAATAATATAGCCCTTGTTTGCCCCCCCCCCCCCC